GCGTATACGCAATGTGCGTGTGTGCTTGGCTCGGGTTTTTGAGATTGATAGCAGGATCAAATGGTATATCGCAGCATGTTAAGTGGAGTGTTTACGTGTCCTTCTTGTATGTGCGTGTGTGTGTGTGTAAATGCGTGCAGCGCTTTAATTATGCCCATTGCGGGCGCTGTCTTTAGGCCAAAAAGTTAGCCAAAGAGCCACGGCCACAGCGCACACTCTCGCCAGCAAAATAAAGCTTAATGGCAGGCATTAATTATGCACAAAATTAAGATATATTATGCACGCCGGAGTTTATTATGCCTCCGTATGAAGGCACTGCAATTTGAATTAATCAATAAAAAATGTTGATTCCACGCTTAATTAGTTTTTCATTAAGTGCACACAAAAGGTATCTGTTTTTTATTTTGTATATTTACTTTTTGTTTCTTGTTTTTAATCCTTTCAAACTGTCAGTATTGTATTTAATAAATAATATGGCATATTTGCAATAATCGGATGCCGCAGCGGACTCCTGCAGCTATCGCCTGTGCCGTCAACAAAGTCATCCTTTGTTTCGTCTTCGGCCGCCCACAGGCTGCAGCTTTACCCAATTAATTTAATTTAATTTCATGGCAGCGAAATTGTTTTCACGTTTGCCTCTGAGGCATTCCGTGCACGCATACATGTTGTTTAATTTGTTTAATTTTAATTGGCAATGAAAAACTGTAAAAAGCAAATTAAAATTTAATTATTTGTTGGCTTAAAAAACAATTCCAGCGATGCATTCGCATATAAAGACAATTAATTCTCATAACAATGCATCCATCAGGTTAATGTAAATGAATATTTAATCACTGTTTAACTTCACGGCTGATTAACTCCATGAATATGTTTAACTATTCGCGGAAGCTAATAGCTGATAGTGCTGGAAAATGCTTGTAATGTATTTTAAGTAAACAAATATATCATTTTACATATTTCTTTCGCCTATTTTCAGTTTAATAAGCAGCTAATGAAACGCCTGTTCGGCCTTTGTAGCTCTGGAATTTTCATTACCACAGCCCACGTTGCGGCTACTTGATATTGACGGCTCCTCAATCCGCTTCTAATTAACTCGCCTCCATTATAATAAGCAGACACAAATTATGATTTTTTTTTTTGAGCTTGAATAAAGAAGAAGCTAATTTATTTTGCAGTTGGTTAGGGGTTAATGAAATGAAATGAAATTTATGGCTTGTGGCAGCAACTGACAGTTGCACGAGCTGAAATTTCAGTTAAATAGAAAATGTAGCAAACACAGCATCTGCATGCCAAATGTGCGTTAATTACTTATTACTAGACTAAATAATTGCATAAAGTTGCGCTTTGGGCTGTGGCAAGTGCAGCCTTGCAACATCACATTGCGCTGTGGCTGACAGGCATCTGCATGAATAGGGAATCAAGGACTTGACTGAGGTTGCGGTTGAGGGCAATCATTTTGGAATCTGTTTGCGATTTCTCATTAGCCGCGCCAACTAATTAACATAAGTAATTTGCTCTGCCGTGTTGTGTTATATATTTACTGTTATTCCTCGCGCATCGCCAAATTGCGCCCAAGACGCACATTTATATAATAGAGAAATAGAGGCGCGACTCGGACGCAGCGGCCACACAGATGCCGCAACTTTAAAGACTCGAAAAACATGAAGCATGAAGCAGTAGCAGCGCGGAGTCACCTGCCAGACAGCTAATCACAGTCGTGTGGGTGGCTTGGCGGTGGCTCGCTCATTTATCTTTGCGCGCGAACAAACACAAAAAGCAAGACGTAAATGACAAAGCACCCGGAAAATAAAGGAAAAACCCAGTGCAAATCCAAATGCAACTGACTGCGCCATACTCTGTTAGCAGAGTTAACAGAGCACAGTTAACATATGCAATATGTGGCCAAAGGCGTAGAATTAGACATGGCTTAAGCATATTTCATTTAGATTAAAGCTCAGTCAGCTATGCCCACAATTGAGCTGCAATAGCAAATAACAAAAAAAGGCCACAAACTAATATACCCACTTTAAATCCGACGCACAGTGTATCTAAAGACGAAGCACTGGCTTACATGATGGATATCCAATGGCATTAGTGGCCCATTGCAAGCTAAATGATATTTTGTAAATAATATAGCAACGTCCAACGACGACGAAGACGGCGACGGCGACGGCGCAGTCGACGTCGCAGTCGTTGATAGCGACCTGGGCGGAAATTAAATTTGGTCACGTTAATTGCCCCCGATTAGAGCATTTCGGTCATTATGATAAGCGCCGCTGCCAGTGTCTGGACATTGGCAATGACAATGAGTGGGCGAGTGGGCCAGAGCCAGAGCCCGAGCATAAGTGCAGAGAGTGTGCGTGCGTGTGTGTGTGTGTGTGTGACCTTTTCAATATTTGCCAGCTGAGGAGTTGGCAATTTGAGGCGATTTCGATATCTCGCGATATTTTTTCGCGCTAGCTTTTTGGTGATTAATTATTAATTAATTAGGAGCTTTGCGCTGGCTTAGTTGTGTACGTTTTATTTGGCAAATTTAAGGCTCGACATCGTACCGTATGCGCAATATTTCACCACACACACACACACACACACACACACACACACACGTACACACCTAGGCAGCGAGGCGTGCCCACGCTTCAATTCCACTTCCGTCACACTTCATGCTATTGCTTTTGTTTCAGACATTTTTTGTCGGCTTCTTTGTCGGACTGTTCCTTGACAAAGCATAACAATGCGACACTCAAACTGCGCTGCGTATGTGTGTGTGTGTGTGCGATTCTGTGAACTTTATTACGCATACGCCCCGTTGTCCTTTTACCTTTGCGATTGTCGTTTGTATTGTACGCGCGCTCAATTTACAATTGCCAAAGGGCTCATGCCACCTGGTTCCCACTGCTCCTGCTCCTGCTCCTACTCCTGCTGCGGCTGCTGCTGCCATTCACATGCGTTTTCTGAAATCAATTGATTTCAGCTGACATATGATATCACGGGGCAATGCAGCACCAACTCCCCTTAGAGCAATGCCAGTTGTCAGCAGGCAAATTGAAATCTCATTTGATGGAGATCATGTATGTCTGCGAATTTCTTAATATTTATTTTATTTGCTTTATTTTTATCTTTTATTGAAATTAATTTGAGTTCAATTGGATTCTATTTGACTTTGAGCTTTAAATAAAATCTTGATATGTATAAGAATAAAGATAGAAACATAAAAAGTTGCTTAATTTGACTAGATTTCAGATTTGTAATATGTTTGCTTTAATTGGGCCTAAAACTATGAATTGTGGTTAAGCTGTATGAATTATTTATTAAAATGAATATACGTTGCCCTTACTGTGGTTCTGGATTGTGGTTAAACTCTCTAAGTTATTTATTGTATATAACAGATTTGTTAATAATAAATATAAATTTTTAATGTGGAGTGTCTGAGTATTGATTTTTGCTTTAAGGCAAGATCCCACAATTTTCTGCCCTCATATAGTTTTCGAAAGCTTCTGGTGATTTCCGTGCTTGCTCAACCATAAAGGAGTTTAAAAACGCCATTTAGCAAAATTGTCATTTAAGTGTCAGTTTAAGGAGCGCTGGGCACTTGGGTGCACAGTTTGTGGCTCATAACCACAGCTACTCATACAGCACAAGAAAAGAGGTTTGATGCCAATGACAGGCACTCCTGGCTACAATAATCTGCACATCAGCTGCAATTAGTGTAAGTGCGGGCATGAATTGGTGCTATATCTCTTGGCAACGTTCTTTTCACATTTCATGTTCAAGGCTTGCGTTGCTCTTGTTGTTGTTGCTGTTGCTGGCATCATTTCAGCGCATGCCACTGTCAGTCAGTCAGTCAGACAGACAGGTAGACAGAGAGACAGAGAGAGACAGGCAGGCAGACAGGTAGTAAGTGCGGCGCAATTGCCGCCATGTTCAGCTTTATTTGGTCAATTAAGTTTGTTGTTTTGCAGTTAAGTGTAAATTTGCACACGCCCACACAAACACACACACACCTGGCTGCTTAAGTATGCATGCGTAGAATTTGTGGCACTTCAAAGATTCACAAGCAGCCGGAGACGCGGCTGCCATCAATGAGACGAGCGTTGCGATGCTTTCAAAATGATCAACAATTGCCCAGATTGAGGGCTGAAAAAGCTGATCACGAGTTGATCGAAGGTGAAAAGCCCATAATGATATTGAAATCGATTAAATAGAGATAATTGGCATTGGAAAGATATATTGTATAGGCAGAGCTAGCTCATTCTCACTCACATCTCAACATATCTTCCAGCAACTTTATGCCCTGGTATCATTAAATTGTATCTCGTAGGTTTCGCTTTGAAATTGCATGCCATAAAGGGCCAGATAAATAAATAAATAGATTTTTATATTGCACTCGAAAGCCATCGCAAATATTGAACTTCAGCTGAAGTGCCCTGAGTCAAGCAAGAGGCAGGCAGCGCACTGCATCGACTACCCATAAATTGCTACTCTGAAATAGTGTACTCAAATTGTATCTCATAGATACTCGACCATCTAGAAATGTCTTATGGCTGCCGTAGGAGCTGCAGCTTGCTAGCAGCCGTGCCGGCGATTCGTATCTTGGCGTTTCTAATTTCAAATTGTATCTCACAGATACTTTGTCATAAAAATGCATTTTATGTCGCATTAAAAGGCAATCACAAATAGCCTCAAGTGCTTTAACTTAGCTGCGACATTATTAAAGAGCTCCATCAAGTGCTTTGCACAACTATAATTAAAGATTTTTTTCGCACTCCGATAAACAAAAGAGGTGTTGACATTTTCCGAGCGTCAGCGCGCTCACATCTTAAGTTGTCAAACGATTTGTTTATGCACTTAGGCGACGATAACGAATGAATAAAAAGAATGTATACGTAAGAGCATGTATGTATATTTATCAACAGTAAAAAAGTAAAATAGGAAAGAGCAGACAATGCTCGAGCTCTAGGCAAGCAAATCTTAATCTAATAGCAAAGAAAACAACTTACATTAGGTCAACGGCTGGTTGGGTGAGGCCTCAGCTCTCAGCCCTCAACACCCGCTTCTCCTTTATTTTCCAGCTGCTCGTTAGCATAAATAGCTTTAAATTATTTTTTAAACACTTTTCAAGAAACTTGCCGAACAGGTGCCAAATGACGTGCCGTGCTTAACGAACACATAACTTAGGGGCAACAACGCACAAATCACAAATCACTTGAAAAGCAATTGTTATCTACTAAGTTCATCAATAAAATTAGATTATGCATATGCTATATATAATATTTTCAGTTTAGTTTCTGAAGTACTCGAAACACTCTTCATGTATATTTGCTGGCCTGGTTTCTGGTTCAATTTCTCGGGGGCACATTTCCATTAAATATATTTCACAATTTCCACATAAAATTTTTTAGCGCACCAACAACAACAATTACACTTTTCAACAATCGCTTTTTATAGCGCACACTTTTTTCGGCCGTAGTTTTTTGTTGTTTTGTTTTCAATAATTTCCGTGTCGAATTTTGTGGTTTGTTTTTATACACTTTTATTCAATTTATGCAACAATTTGAAATTTGCCGTTTTTATACATTTTATTTATTTTTTATATATTTTTTCTTTGTTGCTTCGGTGTTGCTTTCGCATTTTTGGCTAACCGTTACGCGCAGCTCCCAAAACTATTTGAAAAGTCAGCGCGTGAAAATTGCGGACGCGTCGCTGTTCCCGTCCGCCTAAACACTTGTCGCTGCCCTGATGCGCGCACTTTGAAAGTTTAACTGTAAATTCGGAACAGACGCGAGCGCCGAACGAGCTGCCAGCAGAAAGCAGCGGCAGATAGCAGACGACGTCGGCAGCGAACAACAGGCGAGCAGCAGCCAAACGGCAAAGATGGATGGATAGTAGCAGAGGCGCCAGCAAGCCACGTACCTGTGTGCGTGCGTAACAGCAACAGTAGCAGCAGCAGCGGCAGCAACAGCAACAGCAAAAGCAGCAGCAGCGCACAAGAGCACCTACAGCGACAAGCGTCTAACATTAACAGCCGCTGCTCACGCACACAGCTGCGCGCTGTTATCACAAGCATTGCCGTCGGTGTAACAGTTTCACTGTGTCAGTGGGTCGTTCGGGCACCCACAACTGCTGTTAAGTTGAGCGAGCGTCAACTTCGTGCTTTTCACTCTCTCGCTGTCGCTCTCGTTCGCATTCTGTTATTGCATCGTGTGCGCACTCAGAGCGACTGTTCGGCACATTTATCGCATGCGAGAAATGCTCAGGAATGCTGCTAAGAAAGTGAAGTGATTCACTCATTCAATGGCGTGAAATATTAATGATGGATGGATACACTAATATTTATTATAAATATTAATATAAACAACGTATTATAGTTCCATAACTACTTCTTATATTATATCCCGATTCAAATGGCAGCCGTTACAGAAGACGAACACGGCAGAAGTCTGTTAAGTAAAGGTAGTTAACAGAAAGTTAAAGAGAGAGTTAGAATTAACAGTTTACTTCACTTTTGCTTAACATCCTGGAGGAATTCAAACGTCAGATTAAAAATTCATAAAGTGAAGGGGCGTCAAAGGATTTTCGAAAGAGCAACAATTAAACCCAAAAATAGGTCATCTCTATGTTAATGTGCAAATTATATATCAACTCTTTCGGCAAACAGCATTTTATGGCAGTCAGGTGAAGTTAGATAAAAACTTCATAAAGCTTTTTAATAGGAAAACTTGCTTAATAGTTGGCCAACTCGTGTTAAGCCACTTTCCATATAGTATGTAAAAAACTTTGGCTATTCAATTATTTAAGAATCGTTCAAATATTTTCGACTTTCGACAGCACAACATATTCCATGCGGACTTACGCACAATAATAACCGATAATCAAAACAAAATAAATTAAAGATTTATAAGCTAAACATCAGCTGTCAGAGGGCAAGAGCTCATACATAAATCTTTTTGCTAAAGTATACACGCTCCATACTCAAATAAAATGCCCGGAATTATTATTATCTAAACAGAGGGGTAATTCATATGCCATCGCTCCAGAGCACTTGAAGAGCGGACAGCGCATTCTTATATACGGTACATTCGGCGGGGTGCGGTGTGGCGCGCTTGGATTCTGGGCGCTGTATTTATTGAGTATTTTTCTTTGTTTTTATTTGCGGCTTTTCAATTGCAGGAGGAAACATGAAAAGAAATATTTCCAATCAATTGGCGAACAGCAACTAATAAAAACTCATATGCGAACACCCCGAACAGTTCGCCCGCGCTCAAGCGCTGCCGGCATCGAGGTACAATAGTAAAAAATAATAAAAAGAGAGCCAACGGAAAATGTTGTTCATTCATTAAAAAGAAAATTCTCATTGAATAGACGAACGTTCAAAAATATACATTCGTATGGAGCGACCCATGGGCGCATGGCCAGACAGGCTGCAGTCCAAACACACACACACACACACAGACACACACACACCTGCATATATTCACATCTATATTGTACAAATGTTTATTTTCAAAAGGAAAAAACTGGCACTGCTACTGGAAACAAGAGTACTTGGTGCGATAAAATATGTTTTTTTAATGCAGCTTCGTGTTCAATGAAAGTGCCACTAGTAAAAATACGAACAAAGCGAAAACAGCAACGAATTTCACTGACAGCGATGATCGACTGTGCAGATACCCCTTGAGTAAACAGAACTATGAGGAATCCATTTGTATCAGAAAATATCAGCAGGAGCAGCAGTAATTATCACCTGAATTTATGCTCTCCTCTCTCAATATTTACGTAGTTTATTCAAATATGTATATGAATATACAACTTAATTTTTGAATCTATGTCTGTTCAAAGCAATTTAATTTATTATTTGGAATTATTTACTAATCATTTATTTTAATATTTTATGCAGTCACCCGCATGAACTTTGACATGATATCAACTATTTATTTTTTATTTATTATTGAATATAAAAGCAAATAGATAAGCTCAAAAGTGTTATAGTAATATAGACACAATAAACAATATTAAATAAATGCCTGTGAATTGCAATTAATTATGCTTGTATTATTTTTGACATTTCATATTTGTTTTTTACTATAATTAAAATATTGCATTTACTCTTTTTAGATGTACGAAAGGCGTTAAATTATATTGAAATGCGTTCTACGAAATACATTTTTAATAAGGCATGTAGCCAACATGACATATAATATTGTTCAACAATTGTTTTGTGCATTAACAACAGGTAAGTTGGCTAAACAACAGCGCAGATTATGCCAGAAATCATATTTCAATAAAGTTTTTTTCTATTATTTTAATAACATAAATAACATATATTTATTACAATTAAATTATATACAGCAAAAAGTCATCATGGCCAATTTCCGATCGAAGTGAGAGACCACAATTTGAGCTAAGTAGCAAAGTCAGATTATTGGCCAGAAATATTTGGCCGCCTTCGCTCAGCTGGGCAGCAGCCGTGGCAGCAGTCAATGCTGGAGTTAATCAACTTCTATAGTCCATGGCTAGGAATCATGGTATTATGTAGATGTGTGCTGTGGTACTTGTGGCTTTGACGAGTCGCTCGGAGCGGGGCGAGGCGACGATTCAATTAGCAGATACGTCAAACAGAACTTCACATTCGAACGGGAGGGGACGAAGTGGACGACGCGGGCGAGAGGAGCGTGTAGGGCGCATACAAACTTTTTTATGATGCCAGTAGGTTGTCAGCCCGGCTGGCACACAGGCCAATGCCAATGGCAATAGAAATGGTAATGGAAATGGCCAATAGCCAAAATGACATATTGTGCGCTTACCAAAGGCGATCAAATTGTGAGCACCGACCGTGACGCTGAATGGCCAATTTGCACATAGCTTATGAATCGGCTGCCTGAGGAAATAAGCGATTATTCACGTACAGTAGATACTGCAAATGTGCAATCCGGACTTGATTTTACGAGCTGCCAGAAGTTCACTCATATGTAAGCAGAAAGTTTTGTTTACTCATGCATTTGCCTGAAACTTTTTTGGTGCTGCAGTTGAGTTGTTTCCAAATAGGTTTCACTGTGTCGTTTGGTACATTAAATATATATAAGTACGTGTGTATGTAAGGTATATTTAATGTAGATGTTAGCCCTTTCACACATGAACCAAACAAGTGCTCTATATATGTATATACATACATAATTTATATATTCATTCACATTACAGCCTAACAAAATGTTCAATTTTTCAATTTTGCATATTCATTTGAATTGGAAAACTCCTTTTTAATGCCTTTGTCCCGCAGGAAATTCAAGTAAATGCAGCCCGAAATGGTCGCCAGGAATGTCGCGCCGTGCCAGCAGAAAACTGTTGCCCAAGTCAGTGGGAAACAATCATAAATAAATAAAATATGCGTCTGCTTATATAAAGCCAACAAAAATATACATATATACTTATTATATATAACTGTATGCGCTAAACAGCGCAGGCAGCAACACAGCCACGTGAACGTGGGCGTGGCATTGGCAGCTCTACAGAATTGAATTTGATTTATGATAAATTCACAATGATTTATGCCCTTAGAGCGTACATTTTTTCACGGTGTCCAGGCTCTAAGCCGATCAAAAGGGCGACCGCAAGAAAAAAGCAAAAAAGGAAAAAATCGCATTTCGTATTATTCCATTTTGATACACTGCCAACAAGATGTGGAAAGGAGCATATGCGCTGCATCATTCCGTAAAATAATCTAAGAGAGAAACCAGATGGGAATGTCTTTGTTTACATTGTTAAAGCATTTATATAAATATTCTTAATCTCCAAGCATTCCGAGTAGAGTATTATGCAGTCAGTCAAGCTCCATTTCAACATTTTTCCGTACTCTTTCATTTGGCTAAAATACAGTCGGCTTGTATCAAAACGGAATGTATTTAATTTGATGTCGATTTGTGCACGCTCCCGCCCCTGTCCCTGCCCCTGCCACGCCTTATCGCCACGCACAAATTGCCTGCGTCAGAGGCTTAAAAATCTGTTGCCTACTTTTATGGATGCCATTTGCCTTTCTCGTGATTTGCCTCGATTCGCCTTCGAGCTGCTCTTGTCTTTGTGTGGCAAAATATGAAGAGATAAAAGCCCTTTTCTGCATATTTTCACACCCAAGTAACTCAGCGCTGCCCAGTGCCCAAAATATGCTGCTTGTTGAGCTAGTTTCAACAAATTCTGCACTGATAAGCTGCCAAATTGCGAGCATAATCGATTGAAATTGGCAGACAGATTTGTTTTGCCAAAAGTTTGACATGTCCTTGGTCTGGCAAATAACCGAGGCAGTTGAGCAAAGGAAAATTTTGCGATTTAGATAAGTTTTTCACATTTTATATATTCTTTTTATGGAGGCAAATTATCACATATAAAGCATATATATATGAATATATGTATGCATACTTTTTATTCCTTTTAATCTGCTCTAACTTTTTAATTGTTTGTCATAAAAAGAGTAAACAAATATGTATAAAATATTCATAGTTTCTGCC